AAAAAACTAAAAAAATAAATATAAAAGCACAAGAACTACAATATTCAAAAAAATACATAATACGTACATAATCCTCATCTAGCATCTGCAATATCTAAAATATGTTATTAATAAGCATAATATTCATTCACTAAAAGTTTCAAGCATATAATTAAGTTTTTTTAAAAAAAAATGATAAATTTTTTGGGGAAAAAACCCTAATTTCAATAATTTCAAATTTAAAAGAAAATGTCAAAAGTTTACACATAATAATATACTTTTTAATTATATCATCAAACAATAATAATTGTTAATTCGAATGTAAAAAGATAATCTATAGTCTAATTTGTTTACAACTTTAAATGTAAAATAAAAAAGGAAAAAAACCTGAGATTTGAAGATGGAGTGAAGACCTAACGATGACCGGACAGCAAGGAGGACCGGCGATTGATGGTGGCGGGCTGAGACGACGAGCGGATGGCGCGGCGGCAGAGGTTCGACGACGATTTGGACAGCAGACCTCAGACACCACGCGGAGAAGACGATTTCTGTCTGCAAATCGGTGAAACTGACTAAGGAAGAGGGTATAGATCTGTTTTTGAAGCGACGGAAAGTAGCGACGGATATATTCCGTCGCCAAGCCAAAACACAGCGTTTCAATAAAATTCGGTCAGCGACGGAAATTTTCCATCGCTAACATTAACGACGGAAAATTCCGTCGGTAATTCCATCGTCAAAAATGCCGCGCACAACCTCCCGCCAATACTGAGCGACGGACCTTTTTTTCCGTCGTTAGTTTTGGTTGGAGTACCCTTACGTCGCTAAATCCGTCGCTGTTAGCGTCGAACTAAATTCCGTCGCTGCAATCCGTCGTTGTTTTGGCGTTTTCTTGTAGTGACCCCCTAAGTGTGCGTCATTAGGTCGAGCTAATAACACTAAAACAAAGTTATATGGGTCATTTTTTTAATTCTATTTACTTGCTTAAATCGTTTAATTAATTTATGATAATAAAGTAGTCATATCATCTTTTATTTCTGTATACTCCGTATTTACTTGCTTTAATCATTTATGATAATAAAATAGCCATATAATCCCTTTATAATCATCAATTCACTTGTTGTATTGAGCATTTTTATTTTTATATTTTCATGTACTCCGTATTATTTGTTAAGAAATCACTCTAAATAGGATAAAAATATAGAGAAAGTACCAAAATAGAATTTTTATATTTTTATTACCTAAATAGGAGTTCAAACTGTGCATGTGCATTTTACGTAATGTACATGGTCATGATTGGTAATGTAAATATATTTTAATTCTTATTTCGACAATAAAAACATGGAACCCCTATTTTGGTATATTTCCAATATATTACTCATATTTTAGTCTTTTTTTCTAATTTTTTTAAAATAACAAACAGTCAAGCCACCTTTAAATTTGAAATACTTCGTATAATTTAAAACTTATTTCGAGATATGAGGTAGTGTTTAAATATATAAAACTTATTTTTAAATTTACACGAATATTATGAAATACATTAAAACTAATGGGAGACAAATACCGTATTGTGTGTCAAATATTCTAGAGAACGAATGAAATAAAATACGAGTATTAGATTATACTCCGTATTTTATATTAACATCAATGTTGAAATAAATTGAATTTAAAATAAAACGCCACTTAAATATTCATAAATTGAACTAGGATCTACAATAACGATTGAGGGAATAATAATAATAATAATAATAATAATAATAATAATAATAATAATAATAATAATAATAATATGTTACGAGTTTAATATGATAAAAATATATGAACAAATAATATATATTATAATTGAGTTATTAATGTTAAAAAACAACAACAATAATTTATTTTTATTTATGTAAGTTGTTCTTTTCGGGCAACAATTCTGCTCCAAAATGATTTGGATCGATCATTTCTCATCTGGATCCAACTTAACGCTACTAAAGCTTTTGTACGTAAAGAGTCGCAATCTTAGGTCCAATAGAGCCAAAACATTACTACCTCAAAATTTAATTTGTTTAGTATAAAATTAAGTTTATTCCATTTTAATGTATTTAGATATTGTATTTAGAAATTTGTTAAAAAGTTAAAATAGTTAGAAATGGACATAGAAAATATATAATTTTTTTTTTTTGGTGAGCCAAAATATATACTCCCAAATTGAAGTCACGTCCCACACCCGATAAACTTGGGGGTGCGGTGTGGCTAATTACTTAATTTTTCCACACACTAACATCATATTTACGCGGGCTAATACAAATTTGCAGCGATGCTAGATTCATAAACAAAATATTCACAAACATCACAAATTTATTGTTTTGCATTAAACTTTCACTGTTTAAATTACTTTAGACTATTTATTCTTGAAATTTAATCCAAATATGGTAAATTTGTGTTATTTGTGATGACTTTGTTTGTGATCCAAGTATTTCTCATTTATTTGATATTTGTTATTTGAGTTATGAAAGGAATTTTTTTATGTTATTGCCTCTATTACAATGTAGTATTTGTTCATGCATTTTTTAACATAATGACACACAAAAAATCAACGCTTCTACCTTCAGCGGGACTCGAATCTAGGTGAGCTTCCGCATTATTCCAGGAGAGTGGGTTTTCTAGCTAGCTACCACTCGAGCTAGTGGAGAAGTTCAGTTATGGATGGAACTTAATTAGTCATATATATGGGATATAAATGTAAAATCACACCGTACCCCTTGATTAATTTAATTGATTAATTTGGAGACCAAATTAAAGAAAACTACTCTACAAACAAAAGTGATCCTATTTGTTATCACGTGGAACTGTCTTGTGATTACATATCACTGTTTTGAAAAAGAAATAAATAAAAATAAAACACGATGAGAGTCTCACATGTTTTCATTTAATAAAATGAACAATTATATTTTTTTCATATAATAAATTGAACAATGATATAATACTAATGTAACCGGCACATGGTTAAGTTCCATAATACATATATACCTCACAGACCTCCCCCCTTTTTAGTTTTTACATTGTACTTCCTCCGTCCTAAAATGTTCTTCCCACTTACCATTCACACGGTCAAACTTTAATCACTTTCTTTACGTATTTTCATTAGGTATTTGATAAAATAATATAGTCTTGTCACCACTTGTTTTGTAGAACTTTTGATATAATTTTTAAATATATAAATTTTATTTTTTAATTTTACACCTACAATCAAATAAATTGAATTAAAAATAAAGTCGGTCAAACTTCGTAAACAGAACTGGGAAGATCATTAAAGGACGGAGGGAGTAATAATATTATTCCAGCACAATTGTCACGTCAATTTTAAAAATTATGTCAAATAAAAAAATTTCCTTTAAGGCCGGATACACGGAATTCAAATTATGGAATTGGCCGGAATTGAGGACTTCAATTCCAAATCTCGTGTTTGGTAGCACAAAAATTATGTGGATTTGGAATTGGTAGTGCAAAAAATGAATTGGAATGGGTGAATTCAATTCTATGGAATTGAATCCCATGAAATTTTAATTCCAATTCAATTCCAATTCCATCAATTCCGTGTACCAAACGGATCCTAAAAGAAATACGCCGGCTTTAAAAATGTGTACTTTTGTAGTTTTGTGTTATTTTATAGTTTTTAATTTTTTTTACCATACACTGTAGAAGTTTGGAAAAACTGAACTGTCTTTCATTCAATATTCACAACGTATATATACATGTGCCAAGTCCTACTCCAAGTATGGAAAGGACTACTAACAAGGAAACTAATTACACTACTAACAAGGAAACTAATTACAAAGGAAACTAATTGCATATATGGTAGTAAATAAATATATATGCTAACACTCCCCCTCAAGTTGGAGCATGGAGATCACGAATGCCCAACTTGGACAATAAGAACTCGAAGAGAGGCCTGTTCAAAGCCTTAGTGAACAAATCAGCAATTTGTAGACGAGTAGGAACATATGCGGTGGCGATCTCACCGCGCTGAACGCATTCACGGACAATGTGGCAATCAATATCAATATGTTTCATGCGTTCATGAAAAACAGGATTGGCAGCAATAAACAAAGCGGACTTGTTATCACAAAACAAACGTGGCGTTGTCGGTGGAGTAATGCCGAGTGCCCCAAGAAGACCGCGGATCCATCGTACCTCTGCACATGC